TATATATATGATATATAATGATAATGAATATATATTCTTGCCTGTTCTCCATCTTGTATTCCATTGAGATATGCAAATTTCCTGCCTATCTCAATTATGGCAGAAGACTGTGTTTGTCCAATACCGACAGATCTGTTCACTGCCACATCACCTGACCAGCTAACGAATGCTACACCCTCTGGCCATTCTACCTTGAATATGATTACTTTACCAGGATCCTGAAAAACAACAACACTACATTATCTCCAATGGTGATAAGATTCCTTGATTCTGTGGCTATTAARGGAGAATTCATTTTTTAGAAAGGGRGAGGGGGGCAGAGGAATAGGTGTTACCATATGTGCCCAATTTGCTAGCTCACCTGGCTTAGTTTTGAAATTTTAAAATGCCTCCCCCGATACCTAACTTGCAAAAAATTGCAAAAATGCAAAGTTATTACAGTACCAGAAAAAATCAGTGAACCGCCCCTCTTTTCACTTGTAAATATTTGATGCTCCACCTATTAATTCCTTCCGCCCCCTCCCCCTCATAAAAACAAATGCTCCCTAAATTTCTGGGAGCTGGCCATGGTGTTAAAGAATAATAGAAAATAAAACCTAAAGAGGATTTCAGGTTTCTTTAGGCCACGGAAATAGAAATTGGGTAGTTTGGATTGATAGTCTTTTTATTCATTGTTAAATAGCTTAAATATATATCCTGGCATCATTCGGCCAAATGCCTTTTAGGACGGTCATCTTGAAAGGTCACATGTTGTTTAATATGTGACCATCACATGCAGCCATCATCACGTCCAGCCATAGCACACACTCTCTGTCCTATACCCTCTTATAAAGTTGAATAAAATTTAATGAATCTTTCTATACATAAAATGGCAAGTCCCTCTTTACATATTTCATGTTCGTATGTATGACAATTAATATCTTTGATATCTAAAAAGAGGAAACAGCTTTCTCACCTGCACAGACGTTGGTAGACGTTGAGCTATATCAGCTGAAAGTCCCACAAAACAACACTTACTAGAATTAAGACTAACAGAGGCTGAAAAAAGGCAATTCATAGCAAATCCTCAGTTTATACAAAAGCCACAGTATTCTCATAATCTCTTATCGAGTTTCTGCGTAAAATATTTGAAACAAAATACGTTTTTTGTCATAATTCGTAAGCATTTTGTAAAGTCCCTTCAAATTGACTTCGTCCACCATTTTCAGCGGTTGAGTCTAACGCGGGCTCGCAACCTCAAAATATTAAGGTTTCAAAAAAAGAATTTTCATACTTCTAAGTTTCAGTCGGTAAAAAACTTGTCCTGCCATAGATGGCTCGATCATATTTTCATACCAGAACTTAAACTAGGGTAAAAAGTTTGCAATTAGGTATGATTTAGCTGAATCAACGTTACCATAGTAACGAACTTAGGGAAATATATCTGCACGTGATTGTGAGTTGGGTTCTTTCAGCAGCAAGATCCATCAAATCTACCATTCAATCTTGCATTTATTGACCTTTCATCCCTCTGTCAGCCAATATTGACGTGTCTGGCTGAGATAAAGAAAGTCTTGGCTTCTCTTGCCCTTTTGAAGTTAAAAGCTACAATCATAGTTTATTCATCTGATCACAATCATGACGGAATATCAATGGAAATTTGTCTGCTCTCTTGACAGAACAAATTGTTGTAATTGCCCTCTCCACTTGCAACTCAACTCCAAACTTACTTACTTCTATATACAACTCCCTAAATYCTAATTGGATCTGTGAATTACATTAAGCTTAAACTTGACCTTTTTTTTAAATACAAAACGAGATTTTTTTTCGTATGTAAAAAAAACGCTAAAAAAAAAGCTTCATCCCTGACCTACTGCGCATGCGTATGAGTCCATCATTGACCCGGGCTATTTTGAGATTTAGTAGGCAATTTGTTTTTATGTTGTAAATCTTATCTTTTATGATTACCTGGCGACCCTCAGTACTGCAATCAAGATGGTCCTCTWTGACAGTTGTCGGCCATCAAGCCACGAAGAACAAAAAAGTTTAAAGAAGAAACGAATAAATTGAATCTCAAGTTTGGCTCGACGTTGAAGTTGGCTTACGAGCTGCAAGTTCATTCCAAGCAAAATATATATATTTATGGTTATGCAAGGAACCTTTATTTAAACAGGGTAGCCCATTCAGCTGAAAGCTGGTATCCAGAGGGGCCCTTTTTCGTAAATCAACATTACGATGCTTAAAAACAAATCAAAGCAATAAAAGACGGTGTCCCCTTCGTCCTTCACGTGACAAACTATAYCAAACATGGTATCGCTAGGGGTTCGACACTAGTCGCCTCAAGGGAGCCATAGTGACACTTTTTCTTTTATCACACGCTCGTTATATTTCAATTTACTCATCGCTCGTCGATCGAAAGATAAAAATCATCAACATTGTCAGCATTACATTCCTTGGCATGTGTTTAGCAGAGATGAAGATAAGTACAAGGCCGGCGCCATTTATTGACACACGGCTCTCTGGAGGATGCGTAGAGTCGCGCGAGTGCGTGAACGCRGGAAAACGCGTGCGCGTGCGTGAGTGGTGCTCGTGCGTTTTCCAYACGAGTGTTTCAAGTTCAAGGTTTGCGCTTAATTCTTCTCTGGCAGAAACCCAAGTCTGTCAGGTGCTGTTGTGTCTGGCTAGTTTCTATCAAAGCGATAACCCTCCATTCGTTCTAACTCGAGTTTTGAATCGATAAGTATGTTTTGCATGTCTTGGGCTCTGGGATTAAATAGACTTTAGGGAGTAAAAGATGGTGGATTTTGCCGGATCTGAGAGGGAATTATGTTCTTTATGTCTTTGGTGTGGAGATTAATGATGATTGATGAGTATTGCTGCCGACGGGAGCTTTCGACCTTGATACTTCCAAATCAAAACAAAAATACTCAGAGTCACCTCCTCTACATTGATGAGTATTTCAGGATCTCTGTTCCCTGCTCCTTGTCCCAAAACGCAAGAACCACCCCATAGAAATCTGTGATGTAAATTAAAATTGTCGATAAAAGTTTCTGCAATATTTATATCAACAATCATATTCCCTAAACTACAAAAGATATCTAATCCTCGGTCACGACATTTGTAGTCGTTGCCAAGAAATAAGTGTTATTGCGTTTTCGCTACGTTTCCTTGTTTTCCGGCCATCTTCGCAGTGGGCACTGAGCCAGTTAGTACAAGTATAATATCATCACTCCAAGAACTGTAATTAATCAGCTAGTAACTCAGGATGACAAGCTGCGAGCAACAGTCCTCAGCTGGACTGCTGTGTGAATAGGACTCTCTGCCAAAGTCTATCATTTCATTTCCGACTTTATCTGCCAAGTACACCGGCCGCAAAGATGGAATTCTTTGCCTCGAATTAAATATCGATCTACAAATTCCATTAAGTAGGCGTAGAGAGCGTACTATTGCTTGGAGATGTCGATGAACGGTTTCTTTATCCTCTTTCTGTTCCTGGCCACAAATATATCTTCYGTACTTCCCCGAATCTTAGAATGTACAGGTAACAATTTTTTTGTAAATATTCGCGGTTAAAGCGCGCTTCACTTCACTTTTCCATTATTGCTGTCATGTCGCGGTTTTATCTAATTTTTCCCGTTTTTATAAAGACAAGATACAATAGAACTAGGTTTAATGTTATACTGATATCACCGGGAGTTGATTTTTCAAGGGTCAGTTTGTTCGTCATAGAAAAAAACAGGATCAAAATCATTTGAAATTACGAAAGCAAATGGTGATCAGGAAAGATAAATATGGCCATAAAATCAAACTGTTCATGTAATAATTTTAGTGCTCAGTATTTCTTGCAGTGATCATTGAAGGAGTGTGTAATAGTAGGGTGTTAAAGTGACAGTAAGGTTTTTCCCTGCATGGTATCGATGTATAATAATTAGGCAAAAATGTGTTATTGTAGTCAAAGTCTGGCTTTAATCTGTGCTCGCAGGATATAAAATAAGACCAGCTCTTTGTCTTACATAATATCCCCATTAAATATATATAAATAGTAAATATGGACCACATGCAAGACTAAGGCGGGCAATATGCCAGACACGAGATATCGTCCCTGCTTACTTCGGTTAAAGTAAGTGTATTAAAGGACCGTTAAAATAATTAATCAAAAAGAAATCTCATCAATCAAGATGGTTCTCARGGGACGTAGTACTCGTCCCTGACCTCCACCTCGCACGTACATGATCATGACTGCACTAGCTACATTCTATTGTCATACTAGCTAGCAGTCGTTCGGTGTCTAGATATAAAAATTGCTAATAGAATGCGCATTGCTTCTGGAACTTGTAGTACAACCTTAAGAAACTTTGACATCATTTTGGCTCAGATTTTACATGCAAAGTCTATGATTTGCGCGCTCTAGTAGGTTTATGTCAGTATATTTAGAAACTTATCCTGGATGAATCATCTTGATTTTGATGAACCATAGGTAAGTAAAATTAAACGTTGACTATGATCGACCAACGYGCATGCGCATGAACAAATCATCGACGCATGCTTTGGTTCGAACGATTGAGATCTGAGAACTCTTCTCTCWATTGCGCCCCGCTGCTGGATACCAAAKAGCTATTTGCGCACGGAATATTTAGCATTGCAGTCTTATTTGGCCAGCAATACTACTACTTCCTTTGCGCAGTTTGAAGGTACATAAGGTTAATGATGTTAAACCACCACCTGGTGATATAAGGAACGAGTGATTACGGAAATGCCCTTTTTTAGTTTCCGTTTCGCATTAACAATTACTGAAGAAACATCTCGCGGTTTGAAGACTTTTTGTCGGCATGAAAAAAACGAATCACTGTGAATCGTCCTTGTTTTACGAAGGTAGCACTTGTTTGTTAGACAGTGACTAACAAACCTGTGGTCCTCGGAGAGATGAAAACTGTAGAACTTGAAAAAACTCTGACAGGAGAGAACTTTACCAACAACCAACTCTATTCACATATATTTCATAGTCTTGTGATCTATTCATGAYCATAGCGAAGAGATTCATTAGCAGCGGCACGCCATCCGTGCTTCCCAACTCGTAGTTTCTGTGCTCCTTCAATTTTATTAAAAACACTTTACACTTTTCACTTTTATTAGGAACAAAAAACAAGTTAAATTTCTTGTAAAATCGTTGACAAGGAAAAGAGAACAAAGGGGTGCGATARAAGAACTTTCTTTCTCATGCTATTTTTTCTTGCTATCCTCCTAGTTTCTCGGTTGCTGTCATTGAAATCCTTCTTGATCTCTCGGCACAGCTTTTATCCATAACTTGATCATGACGTAGTTCTCATCAGTGTTCATGTGACTCTCTTTATGCAATCTGATTGGCTGTGTTCTTTTATTCTGTGTTGCTTATTGGTGTTGATCCTTTAGAGGCCATACAAGGAGACGTACTGCTGTCTCGTTACCAGCAGACTGTACCCGGAGGTCGAAGAGTAAGAAGAGCCGTTACTTCAGTCAAGTCAGAAATTTGGCCCAACAACACGATTCCATATGTGATTGGTTCTGGATTCTCTGGTAAGAACCTRTTATACCTTGGTACCGTCACTTCCGGTTTTGCAAAATGGCATACACCGAATCGAAATATGGCGACCAATTTGAATAACTATTGTTCTGCACTGACTAGCGACTGACTAGACTCTCATACATGTGAGAACGCCTTTATGTTTCCACGTGAACACGAGRTTAGTCAGTCGCTAGTCAGMCGAGAACAATAGTTATTCAAATTGGTCGCCATATTTTGATTCAATGTATGCAAGTTCCCTCCATATCAAAAGTGAACAGGAATGTTTGAGCAAAAAGAGGCAAGTGCTTCATGTCATTGCAGGCTGGTAGTATGATACATACAATTAGCTGATTGATTACGGAAAGAAACAGCAGGAGATTGAGTTWTTTTCTCTCATCTTCTTCACAGAATGGGCAAAGCTGCAGATCAAGAAGGCAATAAGAATATGGCAGAAACACACATGCATTAAATTCGTTCCTCGAACCAATGAGACYGACTACACTGAGATAAGAAGAGTATCTGGGTAAGACCGCTGAACGAGTTGTATTGCGGGCAACGATATGATAATATCACTTTATCTTTGAGAGAAGACTGGTGCTGGCTAGTAGAGAATAGTTGGTCACCGAACAAATACGAGGAAGGGTAACTCTACTGCTAGGGATAGCCTGTTWTTTTTGGGTGTCCCCTAGTGGGAGAAGAGAGAGGCAAAAAACCAGGGTTACCATGGTTACTCTTCCTTCGTGACGTCAACAGGTCATGCACGATTAATCCCTGACACTTAACCTTCGGCTTCTTTTTTTAAAACATCTCGTCACATTTTCAAAACTTATAAATCTTACGTACATGTTTTCGTTGTAGCTGCTGTTCTACAGTCGGTCGTCAGGGTGGAGTGCAGCACCTGTTGCTAGGTTACGGCTGCCACACCCTTCYCATCATCCTACACGAGTTAGGTCACCTGGTAGGGTTCTGGCACGAACAAAGCCGACCTGATCGAGACGACTACGTGGTGATTCTTTATGAAAACATTCAACCAGGACAGACGCATAATTTTGGAAAGCAATTCTCGACTCATCCTTTGGATCAGGTGAGGTTTTCAGCGCAATAAACCTAACATTCATCCACTGTTTTGTTCAAATGTATATTGTTAGCTTATCCTGTCAGAGTACCTTCCTAGCACGCAGGCTCTTCGAGGCGCACTTTAATGATGCATAAAARGTTGCTGCGGTCAAGGGAATAAAAAGGGACTTTATCGCATCGTACATCCAATATGTCCGCCAGCACGCGATGGTGCAAAATCGCTATTCGTATAGCTTTACCTCAATTTCAGATGCATCAAACATAGGTCTATAAATTTTATAGAAACCCAACTGAAGTCGACTTTTTTACTTTTGCCATCAAACAGCCTTTTGACTACAGATCCATAATGCTTTACGGAACCAACGTGTTCAGCAGAAATAACCGACGAACCCTTAAGCCTAGGATATCTACGTATAACCTGAAAGAACAAGGCTTCGACTACTTCTATGCGCACACGCGTGGCGGCGCGTCGTCGCTTAGTAAGAGTGATATCCTACAAGCGAACTTGCTCTACAAGTGCCCTTATGTTCACGGTAAGTTTTGAAAGGAATTACCTTAATGAGACGGAAGAAAAAATGTATGCTTTTTTAAGCTCGTAGTTAAGTATATTCAATTTTTGTAATTAAGAATCCAATTTACTTAATTTTAAAAGAAAGAATGCAATAAGTGGTGATCTGAGACAGAAAAAGAGGAGGTCCTATGTGCACTTGAGTTGCCAAGTGGGCGGTTGTTCTAACCATTGCGCATTCGGTGTACCCAATTCGCACTTCATTTGGTAATGCTCGCGCACTTGGTTAATCAACTGCGCATTGAATCTAGCCACTGCGCAATGATTCTKCCCAATGCGCACATGATCTATCCACTACGCATTCCGTCTACTCAATGCGCACTTGATATATACCCCTGCGCATCCGAACTACCCAATGCGCACTTGATCTACCCACTGCGCATTCAATCTACGCAATGCGCACTTGATCTACCCAYTGTGCATCCAACTTACCCAATGCGCACTTGACTTAGCTTTGCATTTAATCATAACTTGTACAAAATAAGTTGGTTTTTCTTCCAGAAAACGGTGGTATCCTAGTTGGCTCTACAGGTAATTTGACGTCACCAAACTTCCCCAAACCGTATCCAAAGCAACGGGACTTTACCTGGACTATTTTGGCGGCCGATTTCAAAACCACTCAAATGCTCACCCTCACCATTGAAAAAATCAACGTTGGAGTTCAAGACCCGGATGGTGAATGCCGAGGTGATTATATAGAAGTACGAAAGGGCAAAGGTCAACTGGCACCATATTTGGCAAAGTACTGTGGTAGTGAAGTACCTCGTGTTCTGGCAGTCTTTCACGACAGTTTATTTATAAAGCTACACTCGACGAACTCAACGAAGAGAACAACTAACCCTACGGTAGCTGCTCATCAACCACTGTATGGCTGGCGTAGAAGAATTGTGAGTGAAGTTGAGCCTGTTGGATTTACGTTGCGGTATAAAGTCAGCGGTAAGTGGACGTTGCGCATGTGTAAAATTGGTCAATATCGTTCAAAGAGCCTGCGTTTACCCTGGACAGCAGTGGGAGTACAGAAACGAAACTGTGGTTTTCATGGGAATGATATCTATTTTTTGGCGGGTATATTGGAAAGTGTTCAACTTTTTTTWAAATAGACTTCGATCTTTACCTTCGTTGTCACATTTCAGACCATGTGATGCAACTCTTGGTTGCTGATTCTTTCATAACTAAATATTTTAAAATGTCACGTGGTCTGAAATGGTCAATTTGCATACGAAGGTAAAGAGGTCTATTGTGCTTGAAAGGTAAAGAGATATATAATCAATACCACCCGTCCTAGTTCACCACTCATAATCCTGACTACCRTCGATCTTCATCATTATTACAACTATTATTACAAATAATCAACTTTTATTGCTATATTGTACTCAGACTGCAAGCACGTGTTGACTGACCTGAACGGCACCATCACAAGTCCATACTATCCCTCCATATACACCAGGGACATCGACTGTATCTGGCAAATATCAGCTCCTGTAGGCTACAGAATCCACATCACTTTCGAAGACTTTGATTTCCGTCAAGTTGACATCGACCATGGCTGCCTGGACTACCTGGAAATGAGAGAGGGCAATGAGGGAGTTTCCTCCAAGTTCCTTAGTCTCAATTGTGGGAGGAATTTCCCAAAGGACATCGTGTTACAGACMAACCACCTGAGGCTTTTCATGCATTCAGACTCACAAGACGCCAAAAGAGGACAGGGGTTTAAGGCGCATTACAAGGCGGTGGGTACGTTAACTATTCAAAAATAAGTAATGTCGCCAATTCTTTTTAATGTAAGAACCTGGGCGCGAGTCACGTGATTAATCAGCAGCCATGTTTTTTTCTGAAGAGTTGGGTCGTTAATAAAAAGCAATAAAAACAGATACCATTGAAAAACCGTGGGATTTTAAAACATTGGTTCAATTCAAGCTGCACAATCTTTACATTACAGTTGACTTTTGCAAGAAAAAATCAAAAATAAATTAAATAAGACTAAAAACAGGTCTAACTGGTTTGTACATGTTTTAACAACCAATACTATTTAATCCAGATATTGATGAGTGTCAAGAAACAGCCAACATATGCGAGCAAGGCTGTTTGAACAYAGCAGGGGGGTACATGTGTGGATGCAGGAGCGCTTATCGTGCTGTTTTCACTGATTCTAACCAAATMAAATGTGTAGGTAAGTAAACATCGTCTCTACCCAACATCACTGAAAAGAAACTTTTTGACGCGTTTTTTTTTGGCTGGTAAAACTTAACCATTTCGGGTAGAATACATTCTTAGAATTTGCTTCTTCCAGATATTGACGAATGCGAGAAAGAAAATGGCGGTTGTTCCCACATCTGCATCAACACACAGGGCAGTCATTTCTGTAGCTGCCCTACAGGTTATTATCTGGACAACGATAAAAGAACTTGTGTAGGTAAGGTTCCCATGGATACCTGKTTGCTATGGATACCTAGAGTACTTTAAACTGAGATGTACATAGTAACAAGCTGAGCGGTGAACGCGGCGCGCAAAGCATGATTGGACAAAATGACCGGCYCTAAGCTTAAAAGAACGAAGCAAACATGGCGGTAAAGTGAAATCGTTTTTATGCTTCCTTTTTATATTTCTGCTTCTTGTAGGCACGTATATTATATTTCAGT